ATTAACCCTTTCACTCCCAAGATCTTAATGTTAATTCTCCTTACTGTCTGCCATACATTTCATATTTTTCCACCTGAGTTTAACAGATTTCCAGAAATTTCCAGGACCAGTATATACGTAGCCCTTTTCCAGGACTTTCCAGGTTTTCCAGGACCCGTACGAACCCTGCTCCAATACACCAGTTGCTGAACATGTGAAGCAGTTTTCTTGAGCTACTCTCCTCGTTGTATCTCTCGTGTAACAAAACTCTCAGCGATGCTGAACGCGAAAGAAAAAAAAACGCAACGACTAAAATATTTTTTTATCACTCGCGTTTGTATATGCTTTTATTTACTGATCGGCATAACTTTTCGCCTGTTTGAGGAATCCAAATTTTTTGATCAAATAAGATTCTTGCAAATAACTGTCTTAGAAAGAGGATAAAAGGAAATGAAAAGACATTTTGTTTTAACTGACACACCTTATTAATTTTAAAGAGAGAAATGTTATCTCTGTACTCATTCAACCGATTTAACAACGTAACTGCTATTTCGAAATTTACAGATTCAACCAAAACTTTCTTGGTTACAAAACACTGAAAGAATCTTCGAGAGCGTAACTCACCCATTGCAGCCAATTCGGCTTACAGGTTAATTTCTCGCTTGAACTTGAGTCATTAAACTTCTTAAGCCCGGCCGACCGAAAATGTTTGGTCACCAAACATCAACAAACATTGTTTGTTGTCCAAACATATTGACGTTTGAAGCCCTGGCCAAACGGTCATCAAACACGATCAAAAAAGGTGGCCAAACTGTAAAATGAATCCTTCATATCAATCTACTCGACAATTTCTTGTATGGCAACAATCTAATCTTGAATCAGTGGGGCTTCAGAAAAGGAGGTTCACCTGAACTCCTACTGCTTTCAATAGCAGAGCAATGGCGTCAAAGAGGAGATATATTTCAAAACACTGTTCTGAGTGAAGTGGAGACATTTGAAAACGGAGGTTTGTAGTATCAGTCAGTGTGGGCAGCGAAACTGACAAACAGAATAAAAATTTAATTTCAAAGCCCGGTGTAGTGATCAGCAATTTCAATGGTCCGCTAGCTCTCTTTCCTTGACCACTGGGTCAAAGGGAACGAAGACTGTAGGAACTCTGCTTTCTCACTGATTAATCAGATAAGTTATCAGCGAAAAGAACCAACACTTTTTTAAGCAAGACATTAGAAAATAAGCCGCACTATAGCAGACTCGTACCCAGTCGCTATTTACGAGTTTTGGGGGGCCCGCCTATTCCCATAACTCCCCACGCGCTGCACTCAATCCAGACCGGTTTCTCTTTGAAACAGTCGTAATAGCGACTGGGTAAGAGTATGGCACTACACTGCAGGCTGGAGTGTTCATATGGGAAAATTTCATCCCGGTCACCGAGATCTCGGTGACCGGGCCAGCCCGGCCTCTCATATTTTCACGAAGGAAAGAGTGGCGAGGCGAGATCTCAGAAACCGAGCCAGCCCGGTTGACCGGGCTCATATGAAGAGGCCCTTAGAAACACAACACCAGATCGTTAGTTTAACGGACCTATGAGGAAACTTTACGTTTTACGACTTTACGTTTTCAAAAAAACTTAGCATGGCGATTCCCTAGACTTCATTTTATTCTAATAATTCTAATGTTGATTTCTGGATTGATTTAATAGGTATCTCACAAGAAGTGTACCGAGCATGTAGCAGTCACATCTACATTGCATTACGTTTGACATAGCACGATACAGGCCAAAAACCGCTCCTTTAAGAGCCACCACATCTATAAAAGTCATGACCAACGCAATGCTTACTTGTCCGCGGGAAACTGGGTAATACAATTCTTTCGACCGCTGTCGGATGCGAAGCGAAGATTAAAAAACTTTCGATTCATTGGGATATTTCTTCTAGTTTACTTTTGCTACGTAACGACTTAAAGTTTGTATCGAATCGACTTCAGTTTGTATCGGATTGACCTTCGATGTGTATCGAAACGACTTTGTATCTCCACGACCGGATGCCGGTTCCATTGGAGCCAATCCCCATTTTCCATGGTAACGAAACTTGGCATATACAAATTTGATGGTGCTGGGACCGAATTTAGCGCTAAAGATAGTTCCCGGAACAGTTTCCAATGCAAATTTTGGCTTAAAGTATAGCGCCCCAGGATACGATATTGCGATTTCAGAACTGGAGAACACTAACTTTACTATATTGCACTGTAATTGAGTTCTGATCTGCCCAAAAAATCCAGCAAATCGATTTTAAAACCAGACAAAGGTGTTGAAAAGCGTACACGGACAAACTTGGACTTTTCCGGCTCAACGTGTTGAAATCAAAGGGACCGATATACTGTCAACAGTTTATGCACAGCGTGAGATTACAGTCAAACCAAGTGAAGCGTACCCCTCAAGATTCCATTAATAAATTGATTATTTGAATATTGAACCCACTGGTCGTTTCAAGAATGCAATAAAGAATTGATTTTTTAAATATTGAACTCCCTTGTCATTCCAAAAATCTATATTAATTTTTTTTTTTTTACCCGTACCATTCTTGTAACGACTAGTAAGTTCAATTTTCCAATAGTTAATTGATTATTGCATTCTTGAAACGACTAGCGGGTCCAATATTCAAATAACCAATTCATTAATTTAATCTTGAGGGGTACGCTTCACTTGGTTTGACTGTAGTCTGACGCAGCGCAGTTGCAACAGACAGTGAACTCCCCGGCGCATTGAAAGCACAACTCCATTTCGGAGCGGACATTGATTACTTCGAGAAACTTTCTAATTACTCTTCCGGCGCTGGGGTGGTTAAACTAAACAAAGGAATTAAGGTAAGAGAGCTTTTCGAAGATGCAGTTTTTAACTAAACCAGTTTGGCTATTGTAACCTAGCCGGTACAGCAAATGCACGAATGCTTGAGATACTGATAGAGTTATCTACGCTACTCTCAAATAAAAGGTCAATTAAGAGCGCTTCTCAGGAATTTTCACCTAAGACCATGCAAGATAGAAAAATCGAAAATTGCCAAACTTTGTCGCAATAAAGAACTACTAAAACCATTTGCAGAAAAAACATGTTTCGGTTTGTTTGGATGATTATTTAAGCTTTACAGTGACTTTTTAACGGGACGGCCATAGGCCGAGCGCGGTTCTTCTGCCAAATCGTTAGCGGGAATTCGAATCACGAAACTTATGATCTTTATTGGCCAAAAGTTGTTGAAACATTAATACACGGAAAATGTTACGGACATGGTTTTCTTCATTGTGTGTAAAACAGATTTTCTTTTGGTTTTATCAAAGCGTTGCATTCGAAGGGAATATTAAATCCGCTAAAACAAGGTATTGTGTCAGCCATGGGAATGCGCTGGCATTGCAGCTTTCACTTTCGCTACGTGACAAATAAGATCGTGCTTACTTAATTTCGCCAGAAGCGAGGGTCATTAATTGATTTGCAATTTTGCGAGTATTTCTTGTGGGTTTAGGCAAGGATAAGAAAGCTTCTCAGGGGGTTTAAGTAAGGATAAATTGTTATAGCTTTCTGATCACTTATTGTTGTTGCGATTTGTCTATGTTAGTTTTCTATGTATTTTGCATTTTATCCCAGGCAGTTTATTCAAAATAAGGAATCTAGAATTTTGTATAAACTGGTCTAATTACTCAGATGTCTCCTTTTTATACTTGTATATATATTTAATTCTTTGTTTTTGTTTTCGTTTTGATCGTCTGTGAAATTGAAATTGAGTAAATAAATAAATAAATTGAAGTGAATTCTTGGGCTGTTTCATCGAAGCGAGTAAAAAGATTTGAAAGAAATTTAAATATTTGCTGACAAGAGCTTGCCAGAACCTGCAGCGTTTATGTCAATGCTAGGGGAAAAAAACACAACCGCCCTAAAATCAGTAATAATGATAATAATAATAATAATAATAATAATAATAATAATAATAACTGGCATTTTTTTTGTATATAGCTTTACATATCATGATAAAAGTATAAAAGTTTATATCACAATTAAAAAATAAAATATGCTATAACAAGGCAAAAAAGAATGTAAAATTTAAAAGTAGACACCGAAAGTGTTTAGACTTTCCATTTAAAAAACAAAATCATAATTAGATATCATACGCTTTTTCAAACAAAAATGTCTGGAGCTGTCTTTTAAAAGAGTTTACGTTTGGCGCCATCTGAATATGTTTCGGAAGCTTGTTCCACCTTGATGGCCCAGCATTGGTAAATGTACAATCACCAAAGATCTTAAACGTTGTTCGAGGTGCTGCTAACAAAGGAAGATCATTTGATCGTAGAGAGCTTCTAGAAGATGACTTTTTTGTAATAAGATCCGAATTGTAATTTGGAACCATACCGTTTAACGCCTTGAACACAAATAATAAAACTGTAAACGTGATACTGGAGTCAACAGGTAGCCAATGAAGGTCAATTAAGAAAGGCGCGATGTGATCAAATTTTACCCTTCTAAACCAATATTTACCCAATGTTATATTATATATAATACGTATCTATATGCCCAATATTACCCTACTTACTCATCCTTTCCATGGCAAGAAGCATATAAGGAATTGAACTGTAGGTAGTTTCAAAAAAGAAAGCCATTCAGTAGCCCAATTCAAGATCATATGTAATCTTCATTGTTTAGACAAAGTTTACTTAATTATGGTGTACACTTGTGTCATTCAAACGTAATTTGAAGCAATATATTTAAGTGAAGTACAAGAACACGCTTGGCAATTGCGGCTGTTGTTCGTATTGATCATGTTCCTAAACTGGCAAACATTCGTCCTCGAGGTGTCGACAATCTGTCTTTTCAACCCCAGATTGACACAGACTTAATACAGTTATTCATGCATGAACCAACAATGAAACCCTGTACGTTTGAAAAAAAATATATTAACAGAGCGAGACATTATTGCGTTCAAACTCGATAACGTTTATAACATGGTGCAGAGGGCGATTTTTAAAAGCAACATTTCGTTGCGGCAAAATGTCGCAGGATTTTGCAGGATTCAAAATGTTGCAGGATTCAAAAACCTGCAACATTGTTGCCCGAATTTTTTTGGAGTTGGTGCGTGGTACACCCCCACCATTGACTTTTAACGTAGCATCGTCCCAGAATGCACAAGAATGCACTCATTGTCCGCATATTTGTCGAGAAGGAGCCTGGGTTCAAACGTTTAATCCATACCACACCAGACAACTTTTGACGCAACTTTGTTGCGGCAATGGTCAGCGACGGAATGTTACACGAGACGATTTTTAACGCAACATTGTCCGAAACGTTTAAGCCGAGGCTCCTGCTCGACCAGTATGCGGACAATGATTCCACCCTGGTGCATACTGGAACGATGTCACGTCTTAAAGAAGAGAAAACCTACATGTATCTGCAAGAAAAAGGAATAACTTGTGGTGTTTTGAATGCAAAAACCTAAGCCCCTCCCCCTACTGCCTCACGATATCGCGGAATGATCGAAAAGCGCCTTATTGTGTCGGCTTTTCCTGTCCAATTAATCGCAAAGCACGCGAAAATTGAATTCGGTAGGCAAGGTGTGACAATAAGTAGAAGAATAGACCATTTTACAGTTTTCTGCTCGGTGACCTGGCCTTTAATGGCAGCGAGGCTGGAGGTGGCCTTGCTTTGATACAGACCTCTCTCCTTTTGTCATGTAAATACACCTAGTTTGCATTAGGACAACTTGATTTACACAACAAAAGCAGTGAGGTCTGTATCAAAACAAGGTCAACTCCAGCCCCGCCGCCATTCAAAGGCCAGGTCACTGAGCAGACAACTGTAAAATGGCCTATTGCCCGGTCCTTTTAATTCAATTGGAAGGAAAAGAGGAATATAACAATATAATATTCCTTTCCGGAGACTTTCCAATCGGGCTTGGTAAATTGTCATGGTTTGGGAAGTTTCAGTCAGTGGTGACTAGACCAGGGGGAGTACTTCCAAAAAAATCCGGTAGGGGTGTGCGGCCCGCTTCCCAAAACCCTTACCCTATTTATGACCAAAATCTGCGATATTCCTTACCCTATTTATGACCTGACCAAAAATTCGAAACCCTATTTATGACCTAACCCTTAAATCAAAACCCTGTTTCAGACCTGCGTTACAATTAATTTCCTAGTTCAGACGAATGTTAAATTACCGTAAACATAATTTGTGACGGGTTTTTGTTGATTTTCTTTTTGATAATGATGAAAAAGTGGCTTCTTCTTAAAAACATGCCCATATCAAGGCTAGAGTGTAAAAACCATACTCTATTTATGACCAAAATGGCCAAAATCAGCTAAAATCGATCCCCTATTTATGACCAAAACAGCTGAAAAACCCTACCCTTTGGGGCCGCACATATCTATATACCCCATGTAAGGGAGTACCCCCCTTGTGACTAGATAGCATTTTGTGATCATTCTCTCTTTACTTCTCTTTAGTGAGCCATGAAACCGCTTTGTGGCAGGACCGTTAAAGGTGTCATCCAATGGGTGTATTTTATCGGATTTGTAAACTTCACCGCACAATTGCTTCGCAGCTTGCATCATTATCATTTGTGCAAAGAAGCTGATGATAAATCGGACTGTACAACACCACTCTTGATCGACGTGGGAGTATACGCTGGGGCTCCTCTGTTTTTGTATATTGCTTTTAAGCTAATACGACGAGGCCTGGTAAGACGATTTATGATTAATTTTTATCACAATGTACTCAATATCTTAAGCAACAAACCCAAATGCGATGTTCTCACTCGAAAAGAGAGATTCTGAGTCCTCAAACGCAATCGAACTCATCACTTTCCAGATGACCCGTTAGATTGCTCTGCCAAGTAACTAAATGATCGTGGTGAGTTACGGCTAGCTCACTTAGTCCATGTTTCTTTCTATAGGATAGATTGCCACTATTTATCAGATACTGTCCGTCATGTGTTACCCTCGATAAATAAAGTTGACTTATTCACTTACTTATAGAAACTGCATCGAGTAGGTAAAAACTACTGCAACAGACCTATAACCACAAATTATTCCAGGTACGCAAACAGTCAAATATCTAGACTCGATCCTGTTGAGGTCGCGGCACTTTTCTTTCTCTGTGACCCTGGTATTTAGATTTGTTGCCTACATTCTTTATCGCCTCCGAAGAGAAAGTGAGGCACGAGAGAATCCGCTAGGCTACTTCCGTTTTCTATAACATATTTCGGCATGTATAACTATCTGTATCTATATATTGGGACGCATCAGTGTATAGTATGTATTCCTTGCTCTTGTGCTATGATTTAGGAGTAAAGTGGATCGAAAGTTCTGTTCCTTTGTCCTGCCACTTTCTTGCTTTAAGTGCACCTAACCCCAAAAATTTTTTTTCGCTAAACGAATCCACTTGTTATTTGAAGCATTTGGGCGAAAAAAAATTTGAATTTGGTTGAATCATTGATTTTCTATGACCTTTAAAAGTCGCGCCTGAAGTGTTACACGACCGCGTTTCAGGGAGTCTGGGGCGGCGGTTGCTGATGACGTCTACCCAGGAACCAAACACAATGGCGCCTCAGTCAGCTCTCTGCATTTGCTCGAGAAAATGGAAAACAAAACTAAACGTTCCAATATATTTTGGGACTAAACCATCCAAGTTTTGTTTCAAAATCATTTCTTTTTCGTCACTGGAGTCAGAGTTAGGTTTCGATTCGGAAGACACCGAAATAAACTTCGATCGAGGGCGTTCGACAACTGTGAACTCACTGCTTAGAGCTTTGAGAACAATTTGCAATATTTCAAGCAACGACGGGGACGACTTCTTTGCGGACGAGCTGCTTGTATCTTGGGAATGGAAAGCTAGATATGAAGTGGAGGAGCAGGCAAACGAAAAGCAGGAAAGACTCCCACGCGTGTTTATAACCCGTTTACATTTGTCCCTAGCGAGAATGTATTTTGTCAAGGTATGGTCGTGCTATTAAATCCAGTTTGTGTTTTACTCTCTGGAATGTTTCGTGTCTATAAGAGCGACGTAAGGGTTGCAGTTTTCGAGACTTCATGCCCTCCAAAACACTGGCTTCGATCGATTGAAAATCGTAGAATTGTTTGGACCTGTATTTTTGAAGCTACGGGAAGCAAGGCGGAACGAAACATTTCATACAATTACCGATTTCACATTGCCACACGTTTTAAGTCGTAACTCCAAATAACCAGTGTAAATTTTTTTCAAAGTTTACTGTGAAATTCGTCGGATAAGCGAAAAGGATGTGTTCCCTAAGCGGTCCGCACATAATGTTGCGCATATTTTCGACACTAATGTATAGAATGTTGGTCGCACTACTGATTTCCAGACCTTCGAAAAAACTCTGTGAGTGTAACAATTTTGTTATCATGTAATTCTAAAGGATTAATCTTCGACTTNTTAATTTGTTCGACATTGATGAGAAGGAGCTGCAGATTCTTGCCAGAAAGATTGAGAGGATTATAAAAGACCCGGCACCATTCATCTTTGACGACGGATGCTGTTGCCTTTCAGCATGTTGCTTGCGCGTACCGCAATACAACTTCACTCGCCGAAGCAGTCAGCAGTTCTTTGCCGACTATGAGGAAGTTACCATCTCTGTCGACGGAGACGTGATCCCTCAAGTTCAAGATCCTGTGACTCAGCGATTCCTAGACACTGCGACGTGTGGGGCTCGAAGTAATAGCAGTTCCCATCCAACAGACGAAGAGAGTCTTCAAACCACTGTAACGCCTCAACAGCTTGTTGTCTGCCTCCCTCCAACAAGTAATACCGAACGTGAGTGCAGACATCGTCAAGCTGAACCGTTTCACGAGGAAATACCATTATCGGTATATCTCCCGCCCATTTAGAACATCAAGTCTTCGTAGACGGTAGGAATGGCTCGTTGTTTTCACTTAACAATCATACTTAAGAAGAACTCAACCTGACTAGATGTGCAATGACTACTGACTAAGGCTTGATGGATATTTTCCCGCTTTCAGAGCTCCCATGCAATTCAAATGTAAATTACAATCGATGTTCAACTGATTTGCATTTACAAGTTGATAACTGAGAGCAAAACAAAGTTTTTTTCCCTCTACAAGTGCTAAGTTTTTTTGTTAGTCTTAGAACGAGTCTTTAAAAATTAATCTAGTCGTTCTTAGAAAGCTTCTTTATTGAGAAAACGGAATTTGGTTGAGTTTATCTTAAAGTTATGATTCGAGAACACCCTTATATTTTCACCATTTCATTTTGGTAGCTTTCAACAAATTGGTAGACGGTAAACAAAAATATATATATATATATTCGATGCACTTTATATATCGCGTGTCATGTTATCATGTTCTCAGGATAACCCTGTAGAATGTCAGCAGGGGACTTTGGATTTCTAACCATTGTTAGTCGTCGTCTATGGAAGTACTCAACGCGGCTGAGGACATTGCCCAAATGAATCGTCTGCGAAGGCATTATCAGTATGGGTAGACATTCTACCCCTTCAGAACGTTCAGCCCTGTTACGAGACCATGAATGGATCTCCTTTTTCTGTTAAGAGCCATACTAAAGAGGTACCCTACCTGATTTTCTATAAGTCTTCTGTAAGATTAGATGCATGTTTCTCTTTAAATGTTCCTTACTCGAAAGCAAATTATAATCAGAGTCCACTAGACTTGTAATTAAGTTAATAAGGGGAGCGATTTTTGTCTACCTCAGACTAGTAACATTTTTATTATTCTTAGAATGACGCTTCTTCAAGAATAGACCTGTTTTTATAAAAAAATAAGAAAACTGAACCTTGCCGACATTTTAACTAACAACGGCAATTGCTGTAATCTTTGTAGCCAATAGAATTATTTTAATTTTTTACAATTTTATCTTGTATATAAGCCAACATAGGATTACATACGCATACTCATTTAGTTTTTATCGTTTTTCTGTAAAAATCTAAATTTTATTAGTACTGTGTGTCTTAGGTATTGCATTTCTATTAGTGTCCCCAATTAGCCTCTAGGCTAAATACATTGACACTCAAATAATGGTTTTACTTAACTTTACTTTGCGCGAAAGGAAAAAAACCCGCAACGACTAAAAGATTTTTTTATCACTCGCGTTTGTATATGCTTTTGTTTACCAATCGGCATAACTTTTCACCTGTTTGAGGAATCCAAATTTTTTAATCAAATAAAATTCTTGCAAATAACTGTATTAGAAAGACGATAAAAGGAAATAAAAAGGCATTTTTTTTATCTGACACACCTTATTAATTTCAAAGAGAGAAATTTTATCTCTGTGCTCATTCAACCGATTTAACAACGCAACTGCTATTTCGAAATTTACAGATTCAACCAAAACTTTCTTGGCTACAAGGCACTGAAATAATCTACAAGAGCTTAACTCACCCATTGCAACCAATTCGGCTTTCAGGTTAATTTCTCGCTTGAACTTGAGTCGTTAAACTTCTTAAGCCCCGCCGACCGTAAATGTGTGGTGACCAAACATCAACAAACATTGTTTGTTGGCCAAACATGTTGATATCTGGAGCCCTGGCCAAACGGTCATCAAACACAATCAAACAAGGTGACCAAATGGTACCCTTCATATCAATCTACACGAAATAACAATGAAATCCCTGCTGCTTCCCTATGTAACATAGATCTTAACAAGGACCTTCTGAAATCATGTTTTAAACGTTTGAAATCTGGAAAAGCAAATGGCCCAGATGATATATCTAGTAAAGACCTGCGCCTCATTGGAGATTCATTTTTAACCTGCTTCATGCCACTTGCTCAAAGAAGTATTTCAGAATGTAAATATTTCCCAAGCCAGTGGAAACAACTGAAGTAAAAAAGAAATGTCTTGACAAAGGGGGCACCCTCGACTGTGGAAATTACAGGCCTATTTCCCTTCTCAGTATTCCAGGCAAACTATTGGAAAATGTTGTCAGTCAGCAACTCAACAATTTCTTGTATGGCAGCAATCTAATCTTGAATCAGTGGGGCTTCAAAGAGGGAGGTTCACCTGAACTCCTACTGCTTTCAATAGCAAAACACTGTCCACAGTGAAGTGGAGACATTTGAAAACGCAGGTCTGTAGTATCAGTCAGTGTGGGCAGCGAAACTGACAAACAGAATAAAAATTGAATTTCAAAGCCCGGTGTAGTGATCAGCAATATCAATGATCCGCTAGCTCTCTATCCTTGACCACTGAGTGAAAGGGAATGAAGACTGTAGGAACTCTGCTCTCTCACTGATTAATCAAATAAGCTATTAGCGACAAGAACCAACATTTTTTTAAGCAAGGCATTAGAAAATAAGCCGCATTATAGCAGACTCGTACCTAGTCGCTATTTACGAGTTTTGGGGGCCTACTTCTTCCCATAACTCCCCACGCGCTGCACTCAATCCAGACCGTTTTCTCTTTGGAACAGTCGTAACAGCGACTGGGTACGAGTCTTGCGCTATACTGCAGTATGTAACGTTTCTCGCCTCTCTCTACCTCGGATATTAGTTACTATCACAATCACACATGTTACTCTTGAGGCATACGCGGCAATAACTTCAACATTTTAAATTAAGCGGTTCCTTCGAGGTTGTCGCCTTCCATTTCCTGCAGTATGGACTTGGTGCGGTTCCGGCGTTCAGTACATAGGAGCATAAAAGGAATGAAAGCTCCTGCAAGGACGATTCCACCAGCGATTTGAAAAGGAAGAACATAGGAGCCCAATTTGTCTGCTAAGAGACCTTGAATGACAAAAAAA